TATGTATTATGTACTTCTCCTTACTTTTGCCCCGCACAACTTCCTCATGTTTCATAGCAAGAAAATGGATCGAAAAATAATCGACCCAAATAAGTGAAAATTATATTCTCGGTTTAAAGCTAATCTTGATGTGTATAATGATATTTTTACGAGAATTTTACAATTTGCGCTTCCTGTAAATTGCGTGCCAAATATACTTGTTGGTATTGAAACACAATTCTAAACTGGAGCTGGAATAATATCGTAAATGAAATTAATTTAAAATTTCACAACAAATTTTTTACTGATGCTAATAAGATATCTTAAAACACGATAAAGAATTCTTTGCAGAAAATATCAACTCAGCTAGAGTTCAACCTTTCTATATTTATGCAGTCTTTATCAATTCAACCATTGCAAAGCTTAAGAGTTCTAATTTTTAATCAGATATTCCAGTAGGTAAAAATTAGGACAAGTAAAAAATCGTGTTATGGTGAAGCCTATCAGATAGCAGCAGATTACCTTTCATCAAATCATAAATTAGATATGCAAGTAACTGTGCTTTAAATTTCCATGTATTGTTCTCGGCTTGCACTTCGCGCACAAACTAATCAGTACCATTGAGATTGCGGAGCAGTAGCGTGATATTGCAGAAACCGATTGCTGATAATACGACAAGTGGCAGTAAAAAGGTATTAATTCATCGCGATTGCCATTGTTGTTTGTACAAAGGAACTTCCAAGAGGACTATGTACCGCTTATGGCAATGCAAGCGGCAACCCTAGAAAGTGTCAGAGCCGTATAGAAGAAAATTTCGATGGTCCTGCAAGTTTTTACAGTCCCATTGTACATACATTTAAATGTATGCACCGTGAGTTACTTTATTTTAAAGGATGGACAAAAATTAATTTATAATTTTTCATTAAAAGGTAAAATGTATTAAATTGTGACTTTAAAGAGTGGTCTGAAAATGTATTAATAATATTTTATTCAAAAGACAGAGACCATGTAATAAATATTTAACAATTATTTTTTAAAGGAATTATATATTTCAAATAATAAAGAGGTAGATGTGATTCACGTTATATCTAATTTCAAAATTGGTAGTAATAGTCAATCATCTAATCTAGCTTTCAATTGATGAAATTGATGACAATAAATTGACTGTATATCGAATACCTGTCTTTAAATAGAACCTATTAAAAGAAAAAATACTATAATTTAATACTAACTATAATTTAAATTTTTAAAAACGATAATTTAAAAGTTGAAAAATGTTAATAAGACTTTACTAACATAACTAAAACTAATAAGATTTCCGAAATGTACTTTTTCACTTAACTTCATGCGGAGTTCATTTTGTAACGAGAATTTAATTCGAGGCTCAATCGAAAGTACATAATCGAAAAGTCGCAACCAAATTATGGGCCCTCGTCAAATTCCTTTTTGACTTAATCCGCTCCTGATTCAAGTAGTATATTCGCAGCAACGAGCGCTTTGTTCCGCATTCCCCTATTTGCAAACGCGGCACAGTTGCGGTAGCAGCCCCATAATATTGTTCGCGTGATGAACACGCGACATGTGCGACTCGTTACACGTTACATGCTTGATTGCCTTATCTCTTCGTTGCATACGTAGCACACGTCCATCAAATGTGAAGAACAGCTGTGATAACAGCTTCTTTCATGTTGCGTTCTTAACATAAGTAACTTTCAGTCACTTTTTCTATTTTCATCTCGTTCCCTGTTTTCAGCTATCTCTCCATTTCTCGATAAGAACTTAAAATAGAATTCACTTTGCCAAAAATATAAGTTTTATCGATTAGTAAGTATAGGAATTAAAGAAAACGTAAGAAAATGTAAGAGAATCACAAAGAAATAATATGGCAAATACTAGCTGATTTAATAGATAAATCTTAAATGATAATAAACTATTCTCGTTGATTTTTTTTTTTTTTTTTTTAATGAAACGCTCTGATAGGAGAAATTAGCTCATTTTTTAAATGGCAGATAAAATTGTCACAAAAATCTGCTATTATTTATCTATCTAAGAATAAATTATTTAATAAGATATTATAATAGAAATTAATTAAATAATTTATTTAAATCCACACGAAAAGTGGCTTGATTTTTTCATGATACACTTATCATTCGTATGTTTCTTGATATCTATATCTATATCAAACATATACATGCATGAAACCTTCTTGAGACATTGTCTAATTATTTTAAAATTCAAACGTGCACGTCTAGAGACAGAGTCGATTGCAAAAATCCCCGCCCCTCTCCCCCCCCCAAAAAAAAGAAAAACCGTGAGATGAAAGAGAAATTATTTCCCTCGGGATTATTGACGAAACGCGATATCGGGGAAATCTCGTTTTATGTAACGACTTTCTTTACGACTAACGATGTAACTTCGACAACTAAATTCGCGAAATAAATCCAACGACAAAAACAGAGTAGCTCGAAAAATATGAGATTTCTTCAGACTGTCTATCAAAGACCTTCAACTCGCTGTCGTAAAACGAGTGATGTCGCAACAGTCCTTTCGGAGAAAGTCTGCGAATTGTTGAATATAGAACGAACATGTAATCACGACAGGCGATATATTCTTACGTATTGTGAAAATCAATACAAATATCGTATAAGAATCTTTAGTCCAAAAAAAAAAAAAAAAAAAAATTGGAAAACTTTGTACAATATTCAGTCTATACAAAACGTGTATATTTGTACGTCAAATGCATCGATGTATAAGAAAAATTATGTGGCTGCTCTTTTTGTTCTACAACAGACAGTATTATAAATTACTCTCCATTTTGCTTACGTAGACCTATTATGCGTATTCATTTCTCGGTTCAGTTCCTGAATTCGATTTACGTAACATTGTGTGTGGGATTTCGTTCAAATAGACTATAGTGTCGCGTTACGTGAGACGGCATTCTGTTTACGCGATTTATCATTTAATTAATTTCGCGAAACGCAAGATCAGCCATCTCACGATTAGCCATCTCAATTCTACATTACTTCTACGTCGTTCTTATCGCAAAAAAAAATGTGAAAATGCTCCGGAATTAATACTTTATGAGAAACGTTACAGTACTTTATTCTCGCAAAGGAAACAAAACGTTCATTTTACATTGAGGAAAAAAATTGTTCATTCGACCAAATTCATTTAGTACG